TTTAGCAAGCACGTAGCAACTAATTTCAGCACAAACATCGGCCACGTGCCTGAAAGTTTATAACATAAGCAAAACGAAATATATAACATATAAGTATAATCTAATTAAATGGGTTTTCATAATGCTTATTTTAGATCGGTCTGCTTGTTGTCGCTTGCTTCATATTACTCACAGATGCTGAAAACGGAGTCGATGAAAACGTTTTGAATACTATCGATGAGGATGATTTCGCATACAGGTATGATCAATCAAATTTAAATAAATTGATCATCAATTTATTTAAATTTGAGCATGGGGAAAAAATGCAACACACCTCGTCGACTCGAATTCGTCGTATAATTGTTAAAAATACATTATTTGTTTGCTCATGTTGCGTCGTCGATTCCATAGTCGACTTATAGACCAAATCGCTGAGCGGTAAAATTTATATTTAGGCCTACATTTAAATTTTAGCCAATATATGGTGGCGTAGCCAGCCTGACGGGACAAATCGTCATGCAGACTGGCTACGCTACTGTATATTATACTGTACCTATAAATATAAATGTGTTTAATTAAATAATTATTGAATATAAATATATATATATATTAATATATATAAAATTTAATATAAAAAACAATATCATAATGTATTTCAACAGAGATTTTGAACCAGAGAAACGTGAGTATCGGCATCGATTATGCGTGTTTAATAATGATAACCTTTGTGCCATGCGGAAAGTTAAGGCCCACTTACAACAGACCGAGAAATTGGGGTGTTATGAAGTCAAGGGGCACTGCGTCGCGAAATACAGGAATTGATAGGTTGAATCGAATCCTTGGAAACAAAGATGATTATGATAAAGCCAGTTAAAGGAATTTGAATGATTTTAGATAGATTATACTGTGGTAAATATCTAAGCATGTTGATTTTGAACGTATGTAATAAATAGCTTCATATTATATATACCTTTAATCCACTGCAGTTAAAGTCCATGAATTTTTTGCGTGAAATATGTGAATTTTAGCTAAAGAAAAATAGGATGAAAATGGTAGGTTTAGAAATCTCCTTCAATTTAAGATATAAGATCCTTCGCGATCGATTGCTTTAAATGAAGGGCGATCGATTTCCTGCTCTAAACTAAAAAATGTGACCAAAAATTGAAAAAACTAACGAAAAAAGAATAGAATTCCTTGAAGAAGGTCATGCATGTTTATCTAAAATAGGTTTTCTTTTATGATGATGCATAAGATGACCATAAAACCCATGCAGTTTGTCAAAATGAAAAATTCTTTTTCATGCCCTGGTTGAAGAAGGATGTTTTGCATCTTTGCACATAGCTTGTGAGAGTAAAGCTTGAAATCCATCTCATTTAAGGTGGTTCGAAATTTAAAGCGATAATGTTGGGACGTAATTACCGAAAAGGTCCATTACAAATGTTAGGCACCAAAAATCTCGACCAGATGTTTCGAAATAGAATGGCACGGTCGTGGAGGTCAATTTCATCTATCTTGTGGCTTCCAAAACAGCAATTTAGGTCAGGAAAAGTCTGCAACTAAAGGCAGCCTAGAAGGCAGCCTTCGTGAAACGGTTATAGCTTAAAATAATGTTTTATGCAGGAAATTTATTTAGAGCCCATATTTAACACAATATAATATACATAATCTACACGCATGCATGCCGGCATGAAATAACTAAGTACATGCATACAGGCTTTATTAACCCCCTTTCAGGGAAAAATTTAATTTAGTTTTTTTTCTTTTTAGCTTCATAATGTAAAAAGTGTTTGTGTGCGCACATGCACATCTTCTCCACTAGGGTGCGTTTCTGACGTTTTCGGGTGGGTATAAAAAGAACACTTTAAATAAAAAATTCCGCACAATGCATGATCTCATCATTTATTTGCGCCATATGGCCTGGCTTTCGAAGTTGCTGCAGGTGCAACCATGTTTTTTGAGATCATAAAAGAGCATATCACATCCATTTTCATACCGACGCCAGTGCTGTCAATCAATTTGAGAACCCAAAAGATTTTCAAGATATTTGAGCTAAATAGTCTCAGTATACATTCAATTATTTTTAGCACACATTTTTTAGTCAGTCATTTAACATTTTTTATTCATGTCTGTCCTACTTCGTTGTCTTTTTGATGATATTTCTATTTTTGACGATTTACCAAATTCTGCGTGAGTATCATGCAGTGGCGCAGGTTATCCCTGTATTAAATTTAATATGAAATGTTTGCCTTTTGTTGGAGAGAATGCTTGATAAAGCTTGAAAATTAATAGTCTGTTTTCTTTCTTTCTTTCTTTCTTTCTTTCTTTCTTTCTTTCTTTCTTTCTTTTCTTCTTTTTTTTCTTTTCTTTCTTTCTTTCCTGAATAAGTAATTTTTCTGTCTTGAATAATTTATCAATGCGCAGTATTTTGGTCACGTTTATACATTTGTAATTCTCCATAAAGATCTTAGCATTAATAATTCATATATTAACTTTGACACAGTAAAAATTTCATGTTGCTCAAGTGTTCCACATTTTACTTCAAATTATCCCTGTGATTCAGTTTTTTTACCCTCCATAATGTTGTCCCAAACATACATCGAAGTCCCAGACAATCTCATAATAATCGAAATATTAGTTACAAAGTAATTTTTTTGAGAATATTCATCTTTCATAGCATTGTTTATAGTTAGCAATTTTTAGAAAGAGCCTGTCCTTCTCTTTTCTTGTAATTGATAGATTTGCAAACAAATGGTTTCGTGAGGCAATATTAGGAAAATTCCAAGACTTTTTTGTATTGAGCTCTTTGACCACACATTTATTAGGACGGTGACCTGACGAGTAAGATAATAGATTGACTTTAATGTAATATTATTTAATATACATGGCAAACTAGTTTAGTTTGTTTAGCCTTTGCCCAGCTTTACCCTAATTTTATGTTGTAGACGAAATCGAGTTTCCGAAAAAATGGAAGCGAATATTTCACAAGTTATATTTTCAATGCACCATGTAGTGACTTCGTCCGACTCGACACACAAAATAGGCTTTCTCGCTCTTTTTTACATATGTGAAATAACAGCCTCGTGTGCATAATCTTGTTTACTTCTTCACAGGATTGAACCTCGAATTCTTTCTTTTGAAAGTTTAGTAAAGCATGCAAATTACTTGTGGTCTCGTTCAGTTAAAAACAATAGCATGCATTCCTTGTTCTTGCTGACCAATCAGAGCCAAGTAATTTGATGACGTAAGGAGGAAACTTTGGAGAGGAGTTAGGCGTGCTTTGATACAGAAAGTAATTATTGAACATTTCCTTGTTGGGGCTAGACCTTTTGGATATAGTATTGTGAAAAATTTTCAAATCCACGAGAAGCGAACGTTTCATGATCAACTGACAAGGCGACTATCTTGTTAGCGCTGTTGATGACTATATAGTACTACGTTTCTACAGGTATTTATACTTGAAGACAACCTATTTCTAAATGCTCTCCGCTATGGATCAACGCGTTTTGTTGAATCTGATTGCATGCAAACCTTTGTAATACAGACTGCCACGATACAGACCAATTTTCTACAGCTAAATCTTCTAAATATTGGATTAGTTTAACCATCATACGTTTTCTATAACTTACACTGGCATTTCTTGTCACTTTGGAAATGACCACGTGTAAGGTTAGTTCATGCGAGACCAGATTTTACATATAATTCTCCATGGGCCGTGGGCATGCATGTAATAGGTGTGTTGGTTTGTTTTCTTTGTAGATAGATTATTTGTACGGGTAATGAGAACGTGGTTCAGATGGTTTTAATTCTTCAAATTTGAAGCGTGTATAATTCCTCTCGAAATATTTATGTCATGTTATCCTATACATATATAATTTATGAAGTGACATTCTGAAGCCGCTATACTATTGCACCACTGCCATATTATAGGCATAGAAACGCAGCGATGTTTATGTAATATAAACTTATTAATGATAATTTTGGTTAATTCTTAGATGATTTTTCTTTCTTGCCCTGTTCAACTTTAGTTTTTACCTAAGCTATATTCGTTCGTATTGTTCGTACATATTGTTCTAAATTTAATCAACCATTTAGAATTCAGTAAATCCAGTCATCGAATAGGCAACTTCAAGCCAAAAAAGCCGATCATCATTGCAATAAATAATTGATGTTTGAAAATGAAAACTGTATGTGTGGTGCATGATACATATTCTTTATTGATAAAATAGAATTACTTCCATGCGGCCTGCATTGGAAATTTAAACATTTCATTTGTCTTAATTTGGACTTTGTCTTAATCTTATTAAAAAAGTAGTAAATATAATACATTTAGTTGAAACTTCCCACTATAATGCATTTAATTGAGGGCATTGCCAAACCACTAAAAAAGGTCAAAAAAATCACAAACGGTGGTTACGGTGCTATACAACCATATATTTTGCAAAAGACAACTTTTTTCCCTAAAAGCCTTACACTTGTGGAGACGTTTGTATACGTTACCAAAAATGTGTTTTCTATAGCAGATTGTTTTTTTAATAGTCATCATTGCAATTAGAGTACAACTCAGGTGTCATTAACTTAAAAAACTTCTACTGTGTTCAATATACAGCTAGTATGTATGAAATTACTTTATATTATACGTCATATATGAGTGGCTGATCTAGTATTAAAATGAATTACACTACAATTGCAACAGAATTTTAAATTCAATGAATAAATTGCAAAACAATTTTAAATTCAAAGTGCCCGAGTAACAATTCCATTCACCCGTGGCATGGCATGCAAATTCGATATCGTTCTTGCATATATGTTGAGAATAAAATCAATATCTCTGCCCAACTGTGTAATATCCTCTAGTAGGCATAGAGAATCTACAGACAAACTCATACCCAGGGAAATACGGTGAGTGCGAGGTTGGTCTGCCGAATTACGCTTGCAATCCAACATAATAATATACTATTTTATCAAAAGAACTATTAAATTTTAAGATGCATCAACGGTATAACCTTTATTATTAAAAGCATTCAAGTTGATATATTGTCATGTGCCTTTAAGAAAAACTGAAGTAAAGTCTTCTTCAAAATCAAAATTAGCAACCATAAAACTCGACTCTCATAGAAATATATATGTTCATTCCACGCTGTTGGATAGATCCGAACAAAGCGACATTGAATCGAAGGCGTAATCTTCTGGTTTACAACAGAATTCTTGTCGCTGTTACCAACAAACTCCTGAAACCAAAACGTGACAAAATTTTGAAATTAGAGAAAATTTATATTTGTTTTTAATTGCTACATTAATTTTAACGATTCTACCAATTGTATCGAAACCTAATTGTATTTTCATCACCATAGAAAACGCTTGAAATGGCTATAACCTCGTTGCATAAGATCGTCTACGGGCATGCTCAGATTATATAGGGTTTGGCATGTGCTTGCTAAATAATATATAAAAATCCAAAGTATACGAATGAAATTAGTATACCGGCGCCCATTTTAGGCGTGCTAATAAATACGAGTCGCATAATGTCTAATGTAAGAATATGCAACAGACATTTGATTTAACAAAATATTTTATCTCAAGTTATCGTAGCATGCAACTTCTTAAGCTTTCTTCCAGGGCGTTTTATTCTTATTTTCTACTGATTAATTTCACCATGAAGCCTTTCCCTTTCATCGCCATTTTCAGCCGAATGAATAGGTGGCAAAATTAATTAAATAGAATCACCGATGCTTGTGGAATCGATATGTATTGAGTTGTTGCCATATTATGCAAACTTTTCAGACCAAAGTTACAAAAAATCTACCTAATTTTATAACAAACCTTAGCAACACCATCTTGACCTGAATATTTTTCGAAAAGAGCACCATCGTTGCTAAATGAAAGTGTGTAACTGCGAACAAATTGATTACAACATTGATTTCTTCCTTGGGTACTTATTCCCGTAATTTTAGTGGACCGTTGAAAATCGACCTGAAGCCATTGATCAAAATCCAATTCCCGCGATGACCATGCATCAGGTCCACCTGGGTTATTGTGGAGCCGCGCTTTAGATGGAATGGTCGATCCATCCCACTGACTAGACGCTGTGATTTGGTCGTCACCAATTTTTCTGTTTTCCATCCCTAGGGATGCATTGCATTCACCTGCATTGAAACAAATAGCTTACATCAAGTTTCAATCTTTAACCTTTTAAGTAGTTATTACAATAACAAGGTTAGGTTAAAACATTTGTATATATCCAAATCTAACTTTTAGCGTCCTTAAGAACACAGAAAGGCTGCCATCAATATTGATATATGAGCGGAAAATATTTTAAATTTCTTTGGCCTTTTCTTACCCCTACTAACTTAGAGTATACTGTTCTTTTCAAGTGTGATAATACAATAACTAGAAATACATGCATGCAGCAACCCCTCGCTATTTCAAACCAAGTACACAATTTCCTGAGTTAACCTGACCTAAACTTATATTATGAAATGACACAAAACTCAAATCAGTCCTATTATATTTTACCGAGTATATTATAGCTAATGTTTCCATCATTCAATACAAAAATAATCATAAAGCTAGTGTAAACATTGCCCGTTCAATTTTGCTGCATTATACCATGCCAGCAATTAAGTAACGGTTTAAAATCGAAGTTTCAAACGATTAAAACAGTACAAAATCTTCACAGACAAAGAAAAAACTTCAAATGTTATTTTATTCTGTAATTGCAGTCGACGCCGGCGGCTAAAAGTTTTATACTTTATAAATATAGTGTGTATTTTTGATACCAAAATTCAAATTACACTTTCAAAAACACTTTTTGAAGTTAAAGCAAAGGTGTAATAGCCTTTCACAGGTTTATGCGTTTGCATAAAAAGCTGAAAATTTAACAAATAAACGGCATACAAAGCCGAAAAGTATACAAATACGGCTCATTCTTATCGCGAAACAAATACGAAATAAACAAAGTAAACACGTACCCTTTGTCTTTGAAAACATTTATAAGTTTGCAGATTATGAATTATTCCTCTTACACGGCTTTGTCTTGACCGTATCCACGTTCATCTAACTGTCATGCTTCATATATCTTGTTTCTTCTCGTTTTACTTTCTTTGCACAAAGTTTATGAAACGCTTTTACAAAAATGTTTACGAAATGACAGTTAATATAAATTGCTGACGTTCTCATTGAAATACAAACTTTCTGTCTTAGCCAATCAGAACGTTCGTTGATTACCAGATATTACTTGCGCATGCGCATAACTTACAAAACCACCCAACGTCGACCGTCCATGACAAAGAATTTGGACAACTTTGGATTTGGCTATGTTCTACCGGGTTCCGGGTGTAATTCCTAATCTCCGAGCGGAATTAGTACCCTCGCAGGCGCTCCGCGCCCGCTCGGGGATTATATATTTCATTAATATTTGAATCCCAAAGTATACATTATTGTATCATTGCAAATTTTAGCACATGCAAAGTAATTATATATATTAAAACCCTTCATTGCATGAAAACACTTTGGGACATGTTCCTTCATCCCTCCAGGCCTGGCGACCTTGGATATAGTCGCATAAAAATCTCTTCAGAAATGATACAATCGTATAAAAGTCCCTTCTATGTGTTGCACAATTTTCGTTTCCTAATTCATGTTTACTCTTCATGGAATTTTTTCGTGAAAGTGAATGTTTTTTAATCCTTTTTATCACATACACAAGCACTGGATATCAGCTAACCTTTCATATTATTCTCCTCCAAATTATCTTTAAGGCAACTTGCGTTGTATTCCTTGATAAAAAAGATGATCTTATGGTATAATTAAGTGATTTTCCATACAGTCATGTGACATGTTATGCGTTAAATTCACATCGTTATACTAACGATCAGGGGCCGGTTGTATCAAGCCCGTTTAGCTTAAATGGTGGATAAGACAAATTAAAGTAAAAAACACTCTTACATCTTTCTTGAATGAGTCAACTTGAATATTATGCACTGAATATTTAGTTGCAAACAGTATCTTTGTATTCAGGTTAAAAACACTTAGTTTGCCTGTTGAATAAAACGATAGACTGGCTTTCTATTTTGAACTTATCCACCGTTTAAACTAAACGGGCTTGATACAACCGGCCCCATGTAATACTTGGGAATATACTCATTAATTTTAGGTAAAGATGTTGTTATTCATTAGAACATTTGTGAAAGGCTTCAATTGCTTTTATGTGGCTCAAATTAGCCCTTACCTTTTTTGAGTCTACCAGATAAATGTGATCATAGGAAGAATTTTTCTCCAAAAACTTTTGGGAAACATTGTAGACCATATTATGTAACATTTCACAATTTGAAACGTTCGGTTTTAGGTCTAAAGTTCTTTTGAAGTTGACAGATCTGCAACAAGGCTCGGTGGCACAATCAGCGATGCAATTTATCATTTGGGAAACCCATTTTGTCTTCAGAATTGAAGCGTTCAATCTCAAACCTAAAGTATTTTTTGAAAGCGAGTTTTCAGTAGTTTTCTTTGGGCTGCTTTCGAATTACGCCTTTTGCCTTTTTAATGCCCACAAAATTCTGGGTTGAGCAGGTGGACAACGGAAGAAAACTATAAGGAAAGTCCCACGTCCCACTGCATTTATTGAATGTAAAATATTAACAATAAGCGGTTCCCACTATAAATTAAAAAAAAATAATAGAATTGAGTTATTAAAAAAGTAGTATTATTTACGACAACGGCGCCACTACTTATCATACCTTCCAGAGATGCATTAAAACAGAAATGTGTAATTTCTTCTCTTTCATGTTGTCCCATCACTACGAGTACCTTCGCAATAAACAAGTATATGCAGCGATTGTGTAAAAACATCGTTAACCTTTCAATACCCCGCCGCTACTGCTTTTTACTTCTTAGCTTTTGTCAGCCATTGGTTGCTTTTTATTCCTTTTTTCGATCTCTTTCTAAAACAAAAATTAATAAAAAATAATCATCAATCTATTCCCGCTATAGAGATTAAGTTCTGTATCAGGATTTTAAAATCAGTAATGCTTTGCAAATTATTCGTGCCTTTAATTCAAGCCTCTCGGGATTAAGGCTTGCGTTCACTGTGATTATTAGTCAAAATTGATTTTGAGCCTGAAATTTATTGCAATTCCGAAATAAAAAAAACAAAGGCCATAGCTGCATGATTAATTAAAGAATTTTTTTGCGGAAATTAAACTCAAGGAATTATATTTAGAGGCATTTTAAGATGACATAGCTGATTAGTAAAATTAATGTTTCATGTAGGCTTATAACAGGCAATATAAGTGGTTGACGCGCTATCGTCCCGCCCGCGAAAAGTTTGACTAAAAAAAATATTTCATGTACAAGTTTTTATAGAAATATTTTCAACAAATATCTCATGTGCAAGTATTTCATATTTCATACATGCAGTGATTTATCATAGACTGAAGCATTCCAACTTGCACTAGAAAAGTGAATCTTACCACTGCACGAAGATATTCGACATTATTAATTCATTATTTTTTGTTCTTCTATGAGACCAAAAAATATACATATTAAAATGCACAATTTTTAACAATTATATTCTCTAATTAGCGGTGGATGCGTAATTACAAAAACAACTTCGTTTAATATAATAAGCATTGATAAAATTTTTTTCTGCAGCTAAAGTCTAGGCTATCAGCTGAGCTAACGACCTTGAGAGCTATCAGCTGAGCAAATGACCTCGCGAGGCAGTTAGCTCAACCCGAATACCATCCTTACACGTGAGAGAAACTTGCCTCTCGAGGCGAATTACTCCTGAAAACTATCCACAGACGAGTGTAACTTGCTGAGCTAACAGCCTGGAGAGGTCTTTAACTCTAATAGCTCTCGTGTGCGGGGGGTTTAAACAAAAATCATTGCAAATTACAACCATGCTGAGAATATAAGCGTGTGCTTTATAAACATATGTGTGAGAAAAATTATTAAATATAACGTATGCGAATCAATCTTTTCGTTAAATATAACGTATGCGAATCAATATTTTCAATTCCCAGAGGTGCTTATCTATTGCGCTTTAGAGCTGTATTAATGTTCTGCATATTTAAGTGGTTGCTTTTTTTTGGTACACCCTGTATTGCGAGCTAGGGTACTAATTCGGTTTAGAGATTAGGAAGTACACCCGGGTATTGTTCAATTGCTATGTCATGAACCAGTGGCGGATCTAGGGGTGTGCAGAATAAATTACTACAGCTTAAAATCGGACTCGCATTGGTGGATATTAATGTAAAAATATTCTTTTGAAATCTATAACCTATAGCGTTGTTATTAAGGTGTTTTCAATTTAAAATTATGCATATAAATATTATTCCGAACATCCCAGATCCACCACTAATCATGGGCGGTGGACGGTTGGGTCAGGTCGACGTTCGACCGTTTTGTCAGTTTTGCGCGATATGTAAATGAATAAAGACTGGTAATCAAAAGCTTTTTGATTGGCTAAGGCAGAAATTTTTGTGATTCCAACGAGAATTGAGAACGTCAGAAATTTAACTGTTATTCGTAATATCTTTTTTAGAACAGCTTCATATAAACTTTCTGCATAATAAATCGTTCAGGAACAAGGTATTGGACAACAGATAATTTCAGGTACATCAGTTAACACAGGTAAGTCTTCATTAACTGAATGACTTAAAAAGGTATAAAGACTATTTCCACGCAGTAGAATTAAAGACAGTCGCGGCATATTCGTCATCGCGAGAAAGACTAATTGCCGTCAAGGACTTACCAACACATGCATTGCTTCCCAGCATTTTGTCAAAATCTAACTTGATCTCAAACAATAGAAATTCTGTATAAAGTAAATTAAGTTTTATCCAAATACTCAGTGGTTCTCGTGATCTAACTTGATATCCTTGGCTGAAACCAGCACAGACAGTCTTGGTACTAGCAGCATCAACAATGTGGTACACCACTTGGTTAAGGGTTAGTTTCAAAATCATTTGACAGCCTGAGCAACCCAGGTACATAAACTTGGTGATAAAGAACTATTTCAATGAACCAAATAACTCCCTCATTAGACTGCTGTTGTTGTCAATTATTTGTTTCAAAATTGAAAATAAAAGACATTTAGGGGCTGATTGCATGATTGTAGTCTTTTCAGCCCGCGGTGTTGTTATTAAAATGCGATTGTACAACAATAATTTCACCTGGTTTAAGCTACCCGGGCTGGAATTTCAGCCTGGGCTGAAACTTTGTGTTGTTGTCATGGAGTCGTAAACAAACTTTATTCCGGACGCACTTGTTTATTTCATTTTTATGTGCAATCAAATTGTCCTTTAAATGCCAAGGTATGTTATTTTAGCCCTTTTTAAACCTTTTTATCGGTAAAGTATCATGCAGAGGTGTAAAATTTTGATGCAAAAAAATCAGAGGCCAACTCGTTTCCGATATAAACTTTATTAAACTCTATTTGGCGGCAATTTTGAAAAACCTCTGTTGCTATAGCAACGGTTGCCAAACGAAAGTTCGAAATAGATTTCTCCTCTTGATATATTGCGTAAAAGTTATATTAAAATTTAATCTCCAGCCAAACATTTAGATGGCCTCATAGATATCATCAGAGTGAAAAGTGTTAAATTCTGTGTTATTCACATGTGGATACACGCGTTTTAAAAGGCCTTGCATGCGTATTTCGATCTGAAATATTAATGTGAATATATTATACGGCATATTAATAGTATTCATTGTGTGAATACTATTATCACGACTCTGCTCAATATTCACACTTGCTTAAATTGCCAATTCTCTATGAAACAAATATCATTGCAATAATGCCTAATTAAGCGTAATTTAAAAGTATGTATTAAAAACACACACACATCCGACGTTTATTTGAAGCTTTGCACTACACCGTTTTGCCGCAAACATCAGAGATAGACAAGGGTAAGACTTACAGTTGAATAAATCGAAATGAGTTTATATCACGTCTGCTTGATATAAAAAGCTGACGCACAGAACAATTAATAACAACCTTTGACTACAAAGTCCCCCCCCCAGTTCCCACCGGCCCAAAAAAAATCGATAGTTGGTCGTTTCTTCCAACGCATGGTGATCAAATAAATTAAATAACCTGTTGGCTAAAACAACATAATATATTGGAATACATTCGCCGCTCACATTCGCATAAATTTATGATTTGAAAAATTAAAATACGTCTCACTTCCTTGAAACAAAGGGTTTCAACATGTGAGCATTATTGTATATACTTGTAGAAGACGATAAGGTATAATTCTTTAGGAACTGTTATTTTAAAGACTCTTGTAGATCTAGGTTAATAAGGTACTGACTATCTAAGAACATTTGTATTATTACCTGGAAATACTTTAACCGCTTAAGGTTAGTTAACACATGTTACACTTGCAATGCAATTTTACTTTTGAGTGATGTATATTTGGAAACAGCGAAAGTTTTGTGTTTATTACACTTCATGCACTTTTCTTCTGCAAAACGCTTTACTAATTTACATCTCTTAGAAGTAGAATTGCATTGCTGCAAGAAAAATTGCACCGTGTAACATGGCCTTTAGTAAAAACCGACTAATGGACTGATGTAAATCACACGTCTTGTTGGCGGAGACAATACTACCAATATTTCATGACAGAAAATTGGATAACTTTTTGTACTAATAATTTCTTTATCCATAAGTTGGTTTATACTATAACATTTAGACAAGTCGGAATAAAATACAATTATGCTTTAAAAATCAGCTGTATTTGCAAAGGTGGACATTATTGGGGTGGGGCGGTGGGGTAGAAAAATCTAGAAACGTCGATCAAAGAGCATGCATGGCTTTGTGTCGGAAAAGAGAAATATGTCTCGGTTCATTAACATTCTTTATTAATTTTATTCCTTGCATTCGAGCTATCGATTATCAGAGTTGAAAATATCCTGAAAGGAAGTCGAGATTATTATTGAAACTGAATGATATTTCGCTGCATGAGCTATCAGATTATCTGCGTTAATCCTTGTCAGTAGCAAAGCCACCCCGACTATTAGCCAAAATAATTGTAATGCATGATTGCATATGTGATTTATTCATTAAAAATTGATCGCTACATAAATCATTATCGTCCATGAGTACTGAAATAAATGCATTTGGATGGCCAAAAGTTGGGCTGCATGGCTTCTCCTACTAACCTCATGTTATGATTCAGATTTCAGAAGAAATATTGACATGAAAGAATACCTAAGGTTTATTTATAAGCTGTACATGGCCAGAAATGTAGGCCAACATAGCAGTCAGGCATGCGCGACTTAGCGCTAAATTAGGATGTTGGAGTCGCCTCTAAGAAAAGAGTGGGGAATCGTTAAAATTTGTTTTTTATTGAACCCCCAATTGAGAAGTCATGTTTGTCCACGTCCAAAACATCATCAATTTTATCCACGTTTAACTACTAAAATTATAAAGCAACTCGAGATGCCCAAGTATGTTCCTGAGGAAAATCTATTATTTTTATGATGGTCATCGTATGGGAAAGTATACAATCCTGGCATATTAGTGCTATTAGATCTCTCTACCTTACAGTTCACGTTTCTGCTCGCTGCAGGAGGGCATTGGCACATGTCCACCTCAGATCTGGCTCGTAATGGTTCTAGATTTATTTACATCGCATTTTAAAAGCTTAAAAAGACCTTCAACATTAAACTGTTCCCCCACGCGACGAACTTCATTAAATTCGCAGACTGATTTTTGATCGCCATTATTTTCTTCGAGCTGTTGCTAACAAGGTCCAATAATGTCAACCAATCAGCGCTTTTGTTGACATTTTGCGCTCTTGGCCAATCAGAATGCGCAGAATGCGTGGTAACACACTACAGTGTACAGCACGTTCAATTGCGTATTTTGATACAAAAACAATCGTTTATCATAAAGCAAATCCTTATCTTCAATTTTGTCGTGGGATTTTTTTTAATTCGACCTTGATCACAAGATAATTTAGTCCAAAATACACGATTTTTAGCTTGTATATTGTTGCTTTCAGCTGCTATCTAATTCAGAATACACGCTCTCAAATTGTTTGTATAAAAATATGTACGTGTCGGTTATAAAGTTATTACCAAGTGTTTTTCACCTTACTCGATTAAATAACGTTCGTTTACTCGATTTAAATAACGTTCGTAATTTGCAAGTATTTGCGAAGACTGGCAAGCGCTTCCTGCGAAAGTCGGATTCAGGTTCAATTTTTTTTTCAGTGTAATTTTCTTCGTTATCCTTGTTTAGATATAAATGATCAGTATTTTAATATGAAATACACGATTTTAGCATGCAAATTGTTAGTAATATTGCAATATGCAAATGGTTAATAACATTGGCATCTATAAAATAATATGATATCTGACTTTGCTATATGCCATACGCGCTGCCGAAAGTGCATAATATTACGTACTGCACATACCGTGCTGCTCGAGCCGGAACAAATAAAAATCAATGTTCATTTTGTTATTTCATCGACACTGCAAAGAATGGCAAGCGCTTTATGTGAAAATTGGGATTGTTTTGTGTTTTTTTAGTTCTATCCAAAAAAATCACATTTACACACCCTGCGAGAAAAAAATGCGAGGCGCAACATTTTCATTTTTCTGGAAAAAACCAACCGGGTTCAATAAAATTAATGACATTGTTCGGTACAACTATATATGCACACAAAAAGCATTTATTTTTCGTTACGGAAGAACAATCCAACATAACTTTTTCGTATATTCGTGACAATTTTTGCATTGATTACAGGTGGCAGCCGCTTTAAGAGAAATGCAAATTTTGAGCGTCAGTAAAGAAAACAGTATGTACGTAGACAAACATGCTCATTTTTTGATGTTCTCGGGGCATCTTCCAAACTTATCTTCTCTATACTATTGTTGGACTCTTTTGACGAAACGAGGCAAAGTTACTAAACGAACCCTAACTTGCGGTCATGAATCACATAAAAAACCTGTTTGTCTTCCTGACACTGCTGCGCATAAAGGCCTCAACCTCTCTGGTTCCAAGTGCTCTGTTCAAGTTTTCTATGTCAGGTGAGCAAAATAACAATCAGAACAACATCAGCTCGATCAACAATTTAATCTGCATCATCGATCTCTACATCTTTCTTTGTGATAAACTAAGACTGAAATACTTTGAATTATTTACTGTCAACATTTGCAGTTGTAACGATACAGCATACCTCGACAAGATACAAATTTCTGACTTGAATTATTATTACGAGGTTTCACTAGTGGGTAATGAGACTCCTGCAGTAGGTTGTACTATAGCCGGTCAGTGAAAACGGGACACAAAACGAATGTATTTTGTGTATTAAATAATCAATTTGTATGCTGTACGCAGTGACAGCATAAAAGACTTGATTTTAGATGGATTTAAGGAAAGCTAAATATGTACAATACACTAATAATTACATAATTTACAAGATTATATTTACGAACTTATATATAGTTTTTCCAATTTTAAAAGTTTGGTATAATTTATTATTTAATACTTTAGAAATAATTTGAAATTTAAAAAATGTTCAATTTAAACATTATTGTTAAATTCAAACAGACAGACAGCCTCGTCACTAACAGCAATATTATTGTCAAATAATTTGACAGCTTTACATTTAAATGATTTATTAAATCTCTCCGTTTTTGTCCTTATTATTGCGAAACATCGTGGGTTTCTTGGTGCATAGGGATATCATATGCCTTGAGTTTTGGTAACAATTCGTGTAGCTTGTTATCTTCATCTTGGACAATCGATAAATAGAGTTTATGACATGATTCTTGTCTGCGTTCTGCTAATGTTGCAAGTTGTAAAGATTTTAAAAAACTTACACACACTTCAACGCAACTCGTTCCCGCAACATCTGATTGAACGCATCATTAGTTCCTACAATAACAGGAATAACTTGCAAACAACAAACACTTTCAACACTAATCTACCTAGTCAACAACAACCCAACGTTCATTACTTCAAACTTCCATACATAGGACATTACTCTCAAATTACCGAACAGAGCTGCTCAACATTGTCAAATGATTTTGCAGTGATATCAACATAACGCTAGTGTTCACTTCTCACAAAATCCAAAACATTTTTAGCTTTAAGGACGCAATTCCTAGCGATCTTAAATCCCTCGTGGTTGGTATATAAATTTATTTGTGCAGTAGGAATTCCTATTACATGCATATATAGGTGGAACACCCGTCATCTCGCCACAAGGATCAAAGAACACACCTCCACTGACAAAAACTCGCACGCCTACTAAAACCTAACTGCATGCTAATCCAAAATACACCCGCTAACATTAATTTCTATAGTTACAATACCTCAATTGACTTCTCTGGGGAGGCGGTTAAGCATAATTAAAAACCATTTGGTACATATCATGTACATATCCCACCACCTGATTAGCTATTATCATTCAATCATGCATCCACCAATTTTCAGATCAGCCATAAGTGACATATTCATGCACAATAACACGTTTATTCGCCAGCAATCAGACGTACGCACTTTTGATAAAATCAGTTGATTGATGTCCATCCCTGGCTCATCGTTCTTGAACAGCACAGCAACGTTCTCTTTTAGATTAAATGATTAATTTAATTTATGATACTGCAGGCCACCGCCTTACAAAGCACGTAGTCAGTGAACGTGGAACATCGAATCTTTTGGAGTGTTGTTTATATTGCCTCAGAAAACCATCAGTTTGCAAATCCATTAACTACGAAGCAAGACAACACGAACAAAATTCCAAAAACTGCCAACTAATCAATGCCACGAAATCTACATGTCCTCAGAACATAATGCCTGATGCGAACTATGACTATTATGAAATGTTGGAGAAGGTATTTTTTAATAGCTTTTCATTGGGGGTTCTAGCAATAGTCAAAATAAATTACTGCAGCACATATTTTAATACAAGGTCCATAACGGTTTTTTCAAAAAATAAAATTGCACTTTTTTTCCACTGCTGCATATTTTCACCCGGGTAAAAAAAGCCACGATACATGGGGGAGCAGAAATTTTTGGGGCCCAGTTTTGGGTCTCATTAGGGGGTTAATATACCTTGGCACGTCACAATGATTATATAGTATAGCTTATAGTAATGTTTTTTTTTCATTGCTTCGTACCACTTGAAAATCCTTACTGACAAATCCGAGCTTTAATGTGACGGTTTTATATAAAACAAATATATATACCGTATTATCTGTACAAATTTTCTTTCAGAATTACATTGCATTTAACTATTTAGAATTGCACATGCATGTGTAAAACTGCACGCGTTATAGAAAAGAACCTGGGATGTACTAGATTGCTTACGATATTCTTGGTTATGAATTTCCGATGAAACTCGATCAAGACTTACCAATGTTATTACTTTTAGGCTTTTGAAAATGTTATTATGACCAAAAACTCGAGTTGATAAAAAAATTATTTTGCATAACGCAAAATCGCGCACAGCAGGATTAATCCTAGAAAATTTCCTCCTTTAAAAAGCTGTCAAAAGTAGTTATGGTCGCTATATTTTCATTAATGCAGCTATGAAATAAAATATTGAACATTTCTTTCGTATATTAATTACAGAGTGAATACAGCAAAGAAAAACTTGATGTTTCCGAAATACCGGCAAAAAGCGGTAAGAATCCATTAAAATCGTTTTGCCCTTAAAATTCAGTATAATATATATTCTGGATGCATATATATCAATATCACCCAAAAACTTTAAAACATTTCATTTGGTGCCTTACAAATAACACGGGTAAAATTGTATTAAATTGTAAAAATATAAACTTATATAAAATATATATTTTCTTCTTTGTTTCTCGACATTTTTAAAATTGACACGTATTTAGCTATGTGTTTAAACTTTAACTAGACATTTACCGCAATATTTAATCAGGGTTATCCCAAACATGCATACCTTCGACAGACTATATAGTGCACGAGAGATAGAATGAAGGTATTATTGATTCATCTATTTAGAAAAATGCAGCAAAATCAAGACAGTTGGTGAACCAATTGTTGATCGTCAATCTGGATTGACGCAAGGAACATGGATGAAAGATCCTTTAGGGTCACTTAGTGAAGAAAAAAATTGGTACATTAATGGTTATAAAGATAATACTGTGCAGGAATTTGAAAACTTGGCTCTCTTTAAGGCTGGAACTGTTGCCAAAACCTACAACCTACCATATGGCTTTGATGGCACGGGATCTGTTGTCTATGGACGGTATCTTTATTATAATAGGTTTGTAAAAATTTCTGTCCTTAATTAAAAAAATACTTATATTAACCCTATCCGAATAACTTTCACAATGGAACTTCTCCGACAGGCAACAAACTGGACATATCGTGCAGTACGATATGGTTACTGAGACTGTTATCAAAGAAGCAACAATTGATGAAAACATAAACCCACGTCAATACTTGTATGAGTGGGGAGGCTATAGTGGAATGGATATGTCCATAGACGAGAACGGCTTGTGGGTTCTTTATGGTCTTCCGGCATACAGTGGGAGATTATGTGCCACCCACCTAAATCATTCGACACTTACCGTCGTGAACACCTTCTGCGACATTTCAACTGAGCCTATGACCCGCATGGGAAACGCATTCGTAATCTGTGGAATTGTTTACAGCATTGATAGCTACAGCGATAGCCAAACAACCATTAACCACGCCTATGACACAACCACCAAAACTGCGACCAGCCTAGCCATTCCGTTTCTTAATAAGTTTGGTTACAACAGCATGGTTACTTACAATCCACGAGAGAAAGTTCTTTACTCGTGGGACTATGGGCGCCAGATAACTTATCCACTAGAATTTGAAGATTGAACTTATCGCATGTCATGCAAAACCATTTAAATTTGCTAACTTGCACATGTAACCAAAATGGTATTTTGTCGCGGGCTCACAAATTTTTTTGCACTGCTCTGTAAATTGGCTTACACTCTCCTAAATATCAATCCAGTTTTTAGTTATTTTCATGATTTCAAGGAAGCTTTTTAATACTGTTATGTTGTTCACAAACTGTATACAAAACCCTACATGAAATTTAGCATTTCTTGACAATGTTATATGTAATGAAAATGACGCATGCAAGTAATATAATATATAATTATTTACTTATTGTGCAGTTCGCCTATGTCTATCATACTAGTTCATAATTAGGTGCGACAATTATGTAGAAGGAAACGCACATGTACTGTTATAGTAATAATAAAGCACTTCAATTTTTCTTCTTTGAGAAAAATACTTTACGTGTAATTAAGTATCATTTCATGGTACCTGTTAAATATCACACTGGTACAAGACGTGTATGCTTCAGCTCCGTTGTCAAAGTCGGACAGGTGGTCGGCAATTGGTTTGGCATGACTTAATATTTTCAACATTTTTTGAACGCTAACTTTTTAATTTTTTTTTTAACATTGTGAAACGTAAACACAACAATTCTATTTTGTTGATCTTTACGCAAAAAATGAAAAAGTCGAATTTTCAAGAAGGAACTTGGCCATGCAGCCGAATTAATTTAGACAAATATTTTATTATGCTTGAAAGTTAGTCTTGTCATTGAAAGTTGTTTCGTTAAAATATTCGTCTTTAGCGAATTGTGCCCTATTGAGCAAGTCACATTCGCCAGTAAGCTCTTTGAATACCAATCTTGTCTTGAATAAACATTCACACTAATGCTCCACTCTCACTCACACAGTCACACTTCAGTTCCACTCAAAGTGCCTACATCACTTGTGGGATCTTTACGGATTTGAATAGGGCTTATAAGTTCTACAACCTTTTTTGATGTAATCAAATAGATTCGAAAATACGTCGGTTGGGGGGACTGGGACTCAGGAATGATTTGCGAACACGCCGTCTTCTATAATGTAAACATGAAGAGTTTCACTGGTGATATAGTTTGCGCTTATCAAGAAAAACTCGGGAACGGTGCGTTGTGTATGGCTGTAGCAACTGGGCGAGTTTTTCTCAAAATATTTTACGTTATTGGAAGATCGAAGTAAAATTACAATTGATTATATTATATTTGACAAGAACTCGGTTCCTGAGTCTCAGGCCCCCGAGCACGACGGAAATTTAGGCAAATCGTCATGTTTAGATGTAAATATTTCCGAAACTATTTTATGTCAAAAAAGCTTGTAGAACTTATAAACTAATTTTTCAAGCTCTATTCAAATCCGTAAAGATCCCACAAGTGATATATAGGCACTTTAAGTGCATTTCACTTGAGTCACAGTTAACTTGGAGTGGGAGTAAGCTTTTAAACACAGACGTTAATCTTTTATAATAATTATTAATGTTGATATGCAAAGGCATATACAGGATGTATAAGGTCTAGGTTATACGTCGCATTTTGGTCGCGTCAAATGCAATTCGACCACTAGATATAATGAGGTGATAAACTTCATTAAGCTTAAGTCATTGCCATCTCATTATCTTTTGTTCGAAATGCATTCGACGCGACCAAAATACGACGTATAAAATATGAATATTCTTCAATATTAAGTGTTGCCTTTTTTATGCACCCTGAATTCTTTAATAAATATTATGCAATGATATAACCTGCGATGTCAGTGGCGTAATCAGAACGATAATTGCATGGGGGGACGGGCATATTAATTTTATGCATATATTCATGTTGCGCAGGATTAACGTAAACGTAAAAACGTATTGCATTTTCTTGCGTGTCCGTGACACCAGTTATGTATTTCATATGCAACAAAAAAGGCCGGTAATTTTGACCCACACACATGAGATGCGATGCAGCGCGACACGATTTTTCCAGGTTTTTAATTTTAAACACTTGTAAAATTCGCCGCATTGCATTTGCTGCGTTTTGGTCTATCACCGGATGTCTGCGTTCCAACGTTTTCGCGAATGAAAAAATGTTTGTTTGCATTCTGTTAACATGAATGTATGAATTTGCCCCGCCCCCCAATTATCAACGCTTGCTACGCCCAGTGTCATGTTAAACATGTTGTGTACAGCTATACCCGTGCGACTGTTTAAAAACTTATTGCTTTTTCTTGCGTGTCCGTGGTACCAGTTATGTATTTCATATGCGTTAAAGGCCGGTAATTTGGCCCACACAGGCGAAATGCGATGCAGCGGGACACATTATTACTCATTGCATTGCATTTGCTGCGTGTTGGTCTATCACCGGATGTCTGCGTTCTAACGAAGTTTGCGAATGAAAAAATGTTTGTTAGTAAAACCCAGATGATCAAACATGAACATACTTTACACGCAAACTACGTCACAAAGAGCGGCAGCGCAGACTCTTGTAAAGGTCTAATAATTATAATATAATTATAGCTTGCATATTTATGATACAATTAAGGCACGCAATTAACCCTTCAGAGACGCTCATTTCTCATTGCAGACTCGCAGTGTAATTGCTCGCAACTCCATTTTCAAGATATCTACTTGTGAAATTGTGAGTATATATTTCTAGCATAATTTGTTCTCAATTTTCTAATATTTCACTTGAAGTCCTTATAATTATTGACATAGCTATATAAGTACTGTAACAACAATAGGCACTTTCACCTCACGAGCCACTTTGACTACGATATAATAATCGTATTATACTGTCGTAAAAGCTGAATGGATAAATTAGTGACGGAACTCACTACGCGGGACGTTGCTTGTGGGGAATGTTTTTATCAACAAGAGAGGAGACTGAAAAGTTTTGAAACTTGCAGAACACTATAGGCTTCCGCTTATAAAATCATCCGGAATTAATTTTAAATTACGAATATTTAGTATTTGTAAGCAGTAAAAAAAACAATTCAACCGTCGTCGGCAGCCCACACATCTCAAAGTCCCCAATACTTATTCGTAGCTACTTTTTGCAAACTTTTCTACTTTTTTAAAAAATATTTGTACTTTCCGAAATGTTGCATGTAATATGTAACCTTAAAAAAATCAGGGCTCGATCTTCTCCTCACTCGCGTCTTCTGTACGTACGTACACGCTTGTAAAAGTTTAAAACCATTTAAATGATAAATCAACGATTGAAAAGGTTGGGTTGGATTGTGCTGACTACTTATGCTACACTCACACTCCAACTATTCAAAGACACCACTCACACTCAAGTGAAGCTCAGATTTTGAATGAAGCGTGAGTGAGAGGCATACGTTCCGTGAGCTCCACTCAGTTATGCTCATTGATCAGATGTATAATGATTCAAATATAGCGGGAATGTGGTCACATGAAACACATTATAGTTACGCTGTTTACAACAACAACTTAACTTGCTCTCTCTTCTCCATCGACGGTGTTTTTTTGTGCTGGCATTTAAATTTTTCCTACACGTTCTTCAACTGTCTTGATTCCTTGTTTGTGACACCCGACTAGAAATTGATTTGGTCCCATAAAGCGTCCCTCGTTTTTTTTCTTCCATGGTTAAGTTTTACTTTCTAAAAAAACTTTGTGCTTGCGCATTAATTCGGTTGACAGCGACCTTTCCAATTGCTAGAAATATTGCCTACCTTAAGCCTAACTCCGCAGCCTAAATTTTCAAGCGAAATGCGAAATATTTTGCCTGCCTCTTTTGAATTGTGTGAAAAATTATAGCATTAACCTCCTACTCAGCTTCAGCGTTAATAAAATATATACCAAAAAAATATTGATTGGTTCTTGCAGAAATTTTGTTCGGCGATCTTGTACTTGTTCTCGTATATTCTAATATTTATCTGGAAAGAAAAAGGAAAATACACGCTGAAAATGCTACCTAAACTTGCGAATAATTTTCAAATCCTGTTTGCCTACTTAATACTGGTGTGCGTAAAGGCCTCTGCCTCCCTGGATTCAAGTGCTGTATTCAAGATTTCCACTTCAGGTGAGTAAAATTAAAACCCTATATTTGTTTTCTCGATCAGTATTGCTTTGGCTTAAGCCCGTTTTCCACTAGGCGAATTAATTCGCGCGAAGCGAAGCGATATCTGAAATGCAACAAAAAAGCAGAATCGCTTTCTACTTTTTACCTGTTCGCACGAAGAAATTCATCCATGTGGAAAACGGGCTTTAATCGATAACAAATCATGTTTATCGTACAGTTATAGTAATATTATACGCTGTATAGTATAACAATTTGGTCTACACCATGGGCACACTAGACGCACGTGATTCTTTCCAAGGAACTACTATTTAAGAAATATAATTTCTTTTATAATAATAACTCAATAAACAGATTTTGTACAAATATTATAATTCGATTAAATTACAAATTCTCATTACATCGCTCCGCTTGTCAAGTTCGGCGGGAAAATTCCCGTGTTTCTATTTATTTATAGAAACACGCTTCTCGACCAATCAGCACGCGCGTACTATAAATGTTATATTATAAAATATTATGTAAAATAGTAAATTCCGTTACCATGCTATAGCTGGTATGTTTTTGTCGATTCGTCTTCTTTGTGCGTGGGTCAAATAATATACTTTCAAAAACATAATGGGTATTGTGGGATCATACAATTATTAACAACAATCAATTGTTAAACATGGTTCTTACATGTCACCGACGGTCGGCGATGGACACTAGCGAACTGAAGCAAGTGATTATTTTGACAACACGTACGTTGACCGGTAGAGAAGTTTCTGTTTTTCACCAATCACAATCCTTGACCCAGTCTTTTGACGTTACTCGTGCCATTTGTGTTGTCAAGAACGTCACTTGCTTAAGCTCACTATAAAAAACTCGGTAAATGAAATGATGATAAATGAAATATTTGCTATTTTAATAAATTTTCATTCGTCACCGGCAACAAATAACACCTCACCGACTGTCAGTGACATATGAGAACCAGGCCTTAGGGAGTCATTCACTACCCCCGTTTTCTCCGTTCAATATTTATATCATATTATCTGAAGTAGTGTACTAAAAAAATGGAAAAGCAGAAAAAATAAATGAAAATTTGTGTGCTTTGTCAATGGTCTTAGCTAATGTTGTTTTGGTCGAAACACAACACCCTTTGTATCTCGGAGTCAAAGAAGAAAACTATCACGATTAACTTGAATAAATATGCACGTATATCGAATTATTATAAGCAAAATAACTAAAAAATATGTAAAGTATTATAAGCAAAATAACTAAAAAATGTTTGAAAGTAGGTCCAAAAAATGTATACGTCCCTATTTATAAAATATCCTAATGGAAAAAATGACTATGAACTTTCTCGAATGATTTGCAATCCCTCAAAATCCAATGCAATGCATCGGATCCTGTTTTATATTAACCTATGAATTCAAATGCCAGCAATCGTTTCTGATCTTAAGAATAGATACACCACGATATCTACCACTGATGCCAGTCTCTTGTTGACTCTATTCACACCCTCTATAATCCAATGCAGTGATCTTGTTTAAAATCAACCCATTATCATTTAATTTTTCTACAGGTCACCGCTTAACAAATCACGTGGTCAGTGAACGTGAAACATCAAATGTTTTGGAATGTTCTTTGTATTGCCTCAGAAAACCTTCTGTTTGTAAATCTTTCAATTACAAAGCAAGGAAACGCGAACAAAATTTAAAAGTTTGTCAACTAAATAACGCCACAAAGTCTATGAATCCTCAGAACATATTGCCTGATAACAAATATGATTATTATGAGATGTTGAACAAGGTATTTTATACTTCGGTGTTCCTTTCTGTACAAATCCGGAAATTGTAGCTACATGACTATTGCATAAACGGTCTTTCTTTCTGTTGTGAAAGCAAAGAAGTAATTATGCCTGCATATTCCTCTCCTATTTCCAATTTCAGGAAGATAACAAAAAACAGCGAATAGTTTCTAAAACAACAAGAAGCTACGGTGAGAACACATCAAAAATCTTTGCCCCCCTCCTGAAAAATCGTAATGGCTTTCTAAGCCTAGGTAGCAAAATGTCAATGTAGGAAAATGGCCGCATTAACATGTGGGCGGGAGGAGCGGCCGTGAGGGTAGGCCTTGTTCCCTTTATACTGATTATTAGGAAAAGTGGCTTTATTAATGTGTAATCTTTTTCTTTCCGATTGAAAGTTTTCGTTATCGCTTCATATAATTATTTAATAGAAAATTGCAGCAAAATCAAGAGAGTTGGTGAACCAGTCCTTCATCATCAATCTGGAGAGACGTATGGAACGTGGATGAGAGATCCTCTAGGGTTGCTTGGCTCAGAAAAAATTTGGTACATAAATAGTCTGGGTGGAGTTGAAATGCTTGAATTTGAAAACATGGATCTTTTCAAGGCTGGCTCGGTTGCAAAAACCTACAACCTAACGTATCAGTCTGGAGGCACAGGATCTGTTGTATATGGGAGGTACTTGTATTTTAACAGGTATGTAAATGTAAGGGGGGTTGCCATTCAGAGGAAATGTTGACATGCATCCTTGCAATTTTTTTTTCAATCCCACTCACAGAGAGGGAACTCCAAATATTATGAAGTACGATTTATTTACCGAGAAAGTGATCAGAGAAGCAACTCCTAACAAAAATATAAACCCACGACTGTATGGATACCAATGGGGAGGTTACACCGGAATGGATTTATCGATTGACGAGAGCGGTTTGTGGGCTCTTTATGCACTTCCCGCGTACAATGGGAGGTTATGTGCCAGCCAACTCGATCCTTCCACACTTGGCGTTCTGAAAACCTTCTGTAACGTTTCAACTGAGGCTATAACCTTTATGGGAAACGCATTTGTGGCTTGCGGAGTCGTTTACAGCATTGATAAATACGACGAAGCCCAAACAACCATAAACTACGCTTATAACACAACCAACAAAACTGCGACCACCCTAGCCATTCCGTTTGTTAATAAGTTTGGTTACAACAGCATGGTTTCTTACAATCCACGCGAGAAAGTTCTTTACTCGTGGGACTCAGGGCGCCAAATAACTTATCCACTGGAATTTGAAGATTGAGTTTATTTATCATGCACAAACAGTATTACAAACCAGCTTTTCTAACTTTTAAATCGAACTGATTTTTTTTCTATATCGGGGAAACTTTAGACTATGTAATAAGTTGCAAGCTGCAAGTTATGGTTTTTAGAGTGTCAATGTAAATGTATTGTTGGGTTTTTTGACTGAAAATAAATTAATGTTTTTCTTTGTCTTATTTTCTCGCATTCTATTTATCGCATTCTAAATAATTTTCCTTTCCTTAATGGGGACAAATTAATTATCGGCCGACATGTTAAATAAATATCGATCGTGTTTGTAAATGACCGCATACATTTCAGCGGTGATTCAAATGAATTTCAAAAGAGCGGGAAATTAATTTTGTTAAAGTTTATGTTTTGAAAATTGAATTGAAGTATAGTAGGACATTTAGACTAGATTATAATGGGCACATTTAGTTACTGCGATTTCCAGTTGAGCGTGGAATTGCGAAAGTTTGTTCGTTAAGTTTTGTAGTTTGAGAGGAATGTTTGTGACTTCATCTAATAATGTTTTAGGCGACTTTCGCTAAGTTGTCAAGGCAAACTGTCAATCTTGTGACTGTAAATAGAAGATCTGTATAGCGACTAATAGCCGCTATTTTCAAGTACAGTATTATATTTATAGCCGTTAGTCAAAAACTTGACATTTTTCTTTTGACAACTTGGTCAGCGTCCCCTGACAACATTATTAGATGACGTCACAAACATTGCTTTGAAACTACAAAACTTAACGAACAAACTTTCGCAATTCCACGCTCAACTGGAAATCGCAGTAAGCTAACCCGCAAGGGTACCCAGCTAGCACAATCACATTGTATCAACGTTGTATTAACGTTCCTCCAACGCTTGGATAAGGTCATTTTTTAACGCTGGGTCAACGTTTTTTTGTGAACTCGTAGGAACGTGGTATTAACGTTAGGATCGGTTAAGGTTACAGTCCGACGTTCTTACGAGCTCACGAATACAGATAATTTATAGTCATCAGCCGGCTCGCCAAGTTGCTAGAAATGTTTTAATCAATGTCAATGACATAAAGTCTACATGTATTCACAGGCAGGCGAACAATGCCTCTGAAATCGCAATAGAATATATACGTTTTAATATTTAATTTCATTCAAATTAATACCATAAAAGCTAACATATTTCTTTATTAGAATACGGAAATGGCAATATTATTGGTTGTCTGACTCCTTCTTTCGATTATTTGGAATGATATCTTCAGTGATATCTTCGTCATTAATTTACGCCTTTGGTAGCACTTGGGAGAACGTGCAATATGGCTTCTTCCTGCTTATCTATTAGGGTCATTACCAGAAATTTGTGAGAGGTGATTTGCATATAAACTAATTTGCATATAACTTTCAACAATAATGGGCTTTAGTTAACTTTTACCATAAAATAATTATAGCAAAAGTACAACAACTAAAATTACCGTTACCCTGTGTGTTGCCCACTGTTTGCCGACCTCTGGATCAATAGAACCGCCGTTTTACGGTTTCCAAATGGAAATGTTCGCATTCATTCGAGTGAGCGATTTTACAAGCTCGTTGAGAGAACACGGCCAATAAATTATTTACGCAATATATTTTAAATTTTGCGTACTACAGAAATATACCCAATGTAAAAGATTCGGTTACCAAAACGTTTCTAAACAGCTGTTATTCTATCCATTTAGAGGTCGACAAACAGTGCTCCAAGTCTGTGGCTCTGACGTTACGACGTTTTATATTTTCACTCAATGTATTTTATAGAAAAACTCGAAGGCCATCAACGTTGCCACAACGTGGCAATGTAACGTTGATACGACGAAAATGTCACCCTGTTCAAACGCTACTCTCAACTTTCAACCAACGTTGCCACGAAGTGGGAATGCAAGTTGATACAACGAACAATATCACCTATTAACTGTAGGTCAACGTTAAACACAACGTTAAACCAACGTTACTGCAACGTCAGAATATAATGATCAGATAAACGTGATTCCCAGGTTGAATCCAATGTTCAACCAATGTTGATACAACGTGGTCTAAAATGAATTGGGCAAACAACGTTGAGAGAACGTTGCATTGTATTGAGATTTAGTCACGACCTAACCAAAATACAACCTTTGGCTAACGTTGGGATAACGTTGTGTGAGCATCATCATGAAGTAGCATAAAACAATTGCAACTTTAAGGCAATCGTGCCAAAATCCGTCTTCATGCATAGGTCACCAATAAGCACTGGCACGTCACAAATTTTCATTTGGCATGCAACATGTACGCTCCACATACTTATTTTCCCCCTACCTACGGTCATCTGCGGTCTCCATCGGTCGACCAGAACCGAACCGCAACCTAAAGGCCGGCGCACACTAGAGCTATGTGCTTAGCAAAAATTCATTCGTGGCCATTGGCGTAAGCCAGTTGCTCTCGTGAGCGGGCAAATTTTTTTTTTCAAAATTCATATTATGGAAACAGCATATGGATGACAGTTGAAAATAATATAAAAGTTTAGCTACAATATCCATACTAATTGCCACGGATAAAGTACTGGATGTACGGAAAAAGTACTGGGTGTAGTATACTTCAATAATGTATAATAGAATAATAATATATAATAATTTTTTTCCCTTACTTCTATATACTGAATAAACTAAAAATAGAAGTTTAAAAGGCTTTCCGCTAAGATGCACAACATGCAATATCAAGTATTTAAATGCCAATGTTAACAGCCGGTTTTAAAAGGTCTGATCTTTTGATTATTTGATGACAAGGACATGGCACTTTACTTAGCATTTTAGCTGCTTAATTGTAAATCAACGATTAAAGTTTAATGCAAAAAGCGCGTCGTTTCTCAAGTATTTCCCAACGAAATAAGCATCTTTTACCTCTCCTCGGAGCACGTTTTATCCTAACTCCTCACGCACTTTCTTGATCCTTATTTATTTGCTTGTAAATAAGATATTTGCTAGCGAATAGGAATTTTATGTATTCCGTCCTGTGTTAATGGGTTTGAAAGAGTTTTGGGTTAAAGGGTCAAGATAGTGTGAGGATTATATAATAGTGTTAGGCAGGTGTAAAGATGGCGAGGAATGGCGTTCCGGCAGATATCCGGATAAGGAGGAGCCTAGGCATCACCAGAAGGGTTAAATAAGGCTACTCATAAGCGAGTAGAATCAGTCGCCGAAGTCAACTGACAAGAATCAACTATCAAACAAAAAGTTTTTATCTAAGCCCACTTCCTCCCCATCTCTGCATCCTATAGTTATCATAGATGGCGCAATTTGTGCCCTCACCTTACTGGGCAAAACACTTTTGACGCATTTGAACAATTAATATATATAAAGAATTTTTGTTAAAATTAATATTTTGAATAATAAACTGGCTGGGAGAAATTTTACCCCTAGCCCAAAATATCCCAAACTCATGTAGGGAGTCTTATTCGTAATTACCAATTTCATGCCCAGTAGCAAGCTGCGGAAATGCAACATGGTATGAAAATGGAGTATTATTTCGACTTTGTATTAATTGCCAAGCTCATCAGGATGGAATGCATAAAGACGTAATTATGGTTGCGAAGATCATCTCAGTCTTATACGACATACTTATTCCTTGCACCGTTAAATATTTTGCGATTTGTAGCTATGTAGGCCCGCTTTCTTTGGCCTCTTTCATGTATACCGCAATGAACAAAGCCAACTCGATGAATGATCATATTAAATATTTCACTAGGATATATTCATGAGAAATAAATATTCCGATTACGAGAATCTCTTCGTAGTTGAATTTTTCAATGGAAAACTCGATATTAATTAATGAAATACTCATTTTTTGTAGCGTGCTATATCCAGTTCACCTGCTTTATTATATTAAATTGTTTGTCTTGTTTCGTGAGCTCACTTATGCAATTTTTTACAAAACCCTATGAACTTTTCCACCTTTACTCTATACCTTTTGAACCCAAATTTGTTTGAAATACTAGTAATAATTAAATTTTATATAGCGCGAATTAACATGAAAACTTTGATCAAATGCGCGAAAGACAGTATTGTTTTCCCTCCTATAACTTCAAATGCAGTCTTTAATTTGCGTACCGTGCATGAAATTATATTGCTCTGAAGAGTACAGTAAAACAGTATATAACAGGATAACAGTACGTTCATGTTTCAAGAAGTAACTGGTATAGCAGACACCGCGCAACCTTTTTACCGAACTTAAATCGCGTTTAAAAATTACGCGAGATGCGCATGCATTTATTCCACAAAATAAATAAAATTCAAAGTGGCATGATTAATACGGGCAACGGAAAGTTCGTTTTAATATTTCTCAATTGGAAGTTAATTTCCAACAGTTTACGAAGCTACACATGGGCCGTTTGCATGCAATAGCGTTTCATTAACATGAGTACTTTTATAATTATTTTAAGCCATTCTCTAAATTTTAAAGTTTCCTGCAATCTTGAAGTTTACAAATTGTTATAAAATTGTATAGAATATTGAAATTTAGAGTTCATTGTATGGTCAGCAAGTGCGTTTATTTGTAATCAGAACACTCACCGATAGTCATTTCGTGTATAAACAGTGTCGTAGCCAGCCTGTCGATTTGTCCCGCTATGCTAATATTTTCGTGTTCACTGACTGTGAAAACAGTAGATTTCTAAAGACATGAATAATTATAATAACTCGAAATTTACATAGCGGCACAAAATCGTCAGGCTGGCTACGCCACTGTTTATAAACACTATAAACACTAAACACTATAATAATATGCTTTAGGTACATTTTCAAGCGCACTTCACCTCCTTCTTGATAACAGGACATTTGCATGTTGGGCTTTCTAGTGCATTAATAATTTTTGAAAGCATTGCAAATGTGCTCGCTGTTTGAGTTTCACGTTCTAATTTTAAAATTAAGCCAGACATTATTAAGGTGGCTCAGGGATGTATAAGAGAAAACCCGACAAGACAGCTCTTTAGAACCTCTAGCAAACCCAGAAATATTGAGGTCTTCAAAATAAAACATACTTAAAAATATGTGCGTGCATGCTGCCGAAAATGCTCCAAAATATTTTTCTC